TCCTCCTCCTCCTCCTCCTCCTCCTACTCCTCCTTACCTTATTGGAACTTGTCACTGTCGCGCTTGTGTAGGAAGAAGTCTGGACGTCAGGCTCTGGAGGGTCGGACGTTACTCCAAAAGAAGACGACTGAGACTGAGCAGAATAAGTCTGTTGTTGTTGTTGTTGTTGTTGTTGTTGCTGTTGCTCAAACTGGCGGGGAGGAGTTACATCCTCAGCGGTCTTCGATCTCTCCAGACTTGAGACGTCAGAGCCAAAGCCGGAAGTTGTACCTCCATTGCCGAATCTCCTGGCGGGCAAAGTGGCCGACTTCTGATCTTGCGAAAATCTGCTGTAGGAGCTCCTCGCGTCGGGGACGCTATCAAGCTCATCTTCCTCGCTATCCATACTGCTAAATTTTCGGTTGAAGCTTTGGAAAGGGCGTCTGCTTTCCTCGCTGTTGGCGCGATCGCTGTCCACATTTCTATCACCACTTCCAAACCTCCTAGAAGACACCGAATTATTTTCAACACTTGCTGAATTTCCAGAAAACTGCTCGAAATTCTTCCTCCTTTCACCCAAATCAATTTTCTCATTGTATCCCTGTTTCGGCATAGCAGATTTTGATTCCGACTGTTCAAAATTTTTCAGAATGTTTCCAATCTTATTCTGATTTCTTGGCCCAACACTGCCGCTAGTAGCCCTAGTGGTTGTGGTATTATTACTCCTTTCGAAAGAATCACTTTTAGAAAACGTATCCTTCGCTTTGTTGAACGTGTTGCTTTTCACAGAATTTCTCCCCGCACCAACACCGCCGTTTGTGTTGTTATCCGTGGAATCAGACCCAGACTTGCTGAATCGCTCAGACCTGCTGCTGATCGAACCTTTGGGAGAATTTGCAGCGCTAGAGCCGTGAACTCCTGGCCTTCTCGATCGGCCGCTGTTTGCTGTGTCTCTGTCGGCTCTGCTCGTGAAGTTTGTGTCGTTATCCTCGCTGTCAAACTGCTTGAACTTCTCCGACAGTCTCGACCGCGAAGTGGACAGAGAGCGAGAAGACCGAGAGTCGTCTGTTTCAGAAACGTCAACCGAAAAACGACTGCTTCTTGAGCTGTCGTTGTTGTTGTTGTCGTCGTTTTTGTCGTTGCGATCGTTTATCTGTGATGTGCGAGTGGTCTGTGATGTTTGCTGCTCTTCTTCTTCGTCTTCTTCTTCGTCTTCTTCTTCTTCTTCTTCGCCGTTGTCTTCGCCTGCGTTTTCTTCATCCTCATCTTTTGCCCAAGCCGCAATTGTGTCTTTAGAAGTTGTGATCTGAAAACAAAAATAATATTCTGTCTTTAGTCTCAAGATTGAACAGTGGAAATAAGATTGGGTGCCACAAGATCATATACACCTGAAAAGTATACCCAAGACTATGCTCACAGTAAGTCTGCCCAAGACGTTTTCCATTGTATAGTTTACACATGACGATATACACTGTACAGTTTACCCAAGACTATAATATCATTATACCAACAGTATTCTTTACCCAGGACTCTGTCCACTTTCCTGGACTATGTCCATTGTATAGTTTACCCAAGACTATGTGCACTACTCAAGACGCCATCCACTGTACAGTCTGCAGAGAACTATGTTCACTACAAATGATTATGTCTACGGTATAATTTACCCTGGACCATCCCTACTGTATAGTTTATCGAAAACTATGTTTAATGCACAGGCTGCACAAGACAATTCCCACTGTATAGTTTGCCCAGAACGACTATGTCTACAATCCAGGACTAAACGTTTTTCCCGCATCCGATCCGGACATTGGTGATTGCCTTGTTCGTGAGATAACTTCCTTCCTGGACCTTTCGCATATTGTGGTAGGGTGGCCAGTTCCTTTCCACGCCGCCTTTACTTCCCCAACTCGAAGTCAGGTACCCATTACAGCTGGGTGTGCAGGAGGGGGTGAAAAAATTCCGTGTCCGAACCGAGGCCCAAACCCGGACTTTCCGCTTTGAGACAAACGCAGTAACCGCTTCGTCACCACACCCATGACTATACTGTTAAATTTACCCACGACTATGTCTTCTGTCCAAGGCTATGTCTACTACACACAACTATGACTACTCTATAGTTTATCCAAGACTATGTTCATTGTTCAAGGAAATGTCCACAATCCAAGAAAATGTACACATTCCAAGACTATAACCACTGCATAGTTTAATCAAGACTATTCCCATTGCTCAAGATAATGTCCTCTGCCAAAGACTAAGTCTACGACCAAAATTTTGACTTCTGTATAGTCTTTGTCAATCAGCTGCATAACAAGAAAAGTGTTAGAATGGAATCCACAGGGTAAAAGATCAAGGGGAAGACCTCGTTGAACCTGGAGAAGAGTCACGGAAATGGATATACAGAAAAGTGGGAAGACGTGGAGTGACATCAAGCGACTAACCCAGGATAGGGAAAGGTGGAGAGTGTTTGTTCGTGGCCTATATCCTGACCCAGGGTGAGAAAGGCAATGATGACGATGATGATAGTCTTTGTGCGACTGTCCATAGTTTCTTTGTGCGGTCTTACCCTGGTGTCCGGCACACTGGCTCGCTTTACTGGACTGTTCTGTTGGGTTGAGACACTGGGCAGGAAGGCGTCGTCTTCGTCGTCCTCGATAGGGTAGAACCTGCGAGCAGGCACACTCTTCCTTCTCTCCCTGTTCGGTGCAGTGAAAAGAAATCCAAATTATTATTTTGCATTCCGTTTTATTAATAGATTTTGATGTGACATATTTTTTTGTCTACTGTATGTGAATGTGTGTGAGTGTGAGAGAGTGGACATATGCACGTGTGCGTGAGTGTGTGTCTCTGTGTGTGTGAATGTGGTGTGTGTATGTGTGTGTGTGTGTGTGTGTGTGTGTGTGTGTGTGTGTAGGAAAAAAGAGGGAGGGGGGAGGGGAGGTTATCTCTGCCAGGGACTATCCAGGGCTAACTTCAAGGGCTCATAAAGATAACAAATACTTCTGCACACTTACACATAAACTATTTTATTATAGGGAAACGAGCAGGCAAGACAAAAAGAGGTGCTTCGTTCGGAAAAAAATCAATATTTAAACGTACCACTGACATAACTTTCAAAAACTGTAAATTTGAGCACTACGAAGACAGTAATGCAGCTTTTATACAGACTTCAACACCAGTTAAGGGCCATCTTGACAGACAGCCCTGATTTTTTTAAATCCGAAAAGAGACGGCAAGGAGTGTTTCAATTTTGTTTTGCTCTGAAAGTGTTAAGGGATTAACAAAGCGTCCGGCAATGCTCCCTAAAAGGGCAAGACCACCATGTACAGCACGGAAATCCTCGGGGAAGTTTAGCCAAATTTTGCAAGTGGACCTTAACATATGTTGAAGTCTGTATGAAAATGTGCATCCAGAGCATGCTGACTTACCTTTCTTCCTGCATCTGGGAGTAAGTCTTTGCCGGGAGAGTCGGGCCCGATGACTCCCCTTCCTCCTTTTCTTTCTCCATCTGTTCTAGCTCCTCCTTCAGCGCGTACGACCTCTCTGATTGGCTTTTCCTCCGATTCTTCCACATGCTCAGGTTCTGAAAAGCCAGATAAATCATTATTGACATGGGAGGCGAATATTCTCAAGTGCTCAGATTCTGAAAAGTCCAGATATAGAATATAGCATTATTGGCATGGATGGTTTTGTATGTTTGTTTTGTGCGAGTAAAAAGAACTACATTGAGAAAATAATGGTCATCTAGTGCAGGGAGAAAGTAAGACAGACATACAGAAACAATAGAGGGGAAGAAAGGAAGAACGACCTTCAAGCAGCGTACTCAAACTACCCACCAATGCGACGGTGAACATTCACGAATACACTAAAATCTCATTAAGGCATATAAAAAACCACACGTCATAAGACATACTTTAAAAATAAGTATAACATCTCAAAAACTTAGAAATTTCGAAAATATTGTTCGTGTTCTATGATTCCACATTATACGATACAAACATCATAGTAACTTAGAAAACATACATTAGAATACACGTCTCAGCTTCATCTTCGACTTTTCGTGATTTATATATGGCTCTTTTCGTCTGCGCAGACGGTCAATTTAGCTTAAAATGGTCTCAAGGTTGTCTTCATGCAGCTTCTTTCATGGCTAATTCTTCCTATGTTTGAAGCGCAGGTTCTGTCGCTGTGCTTGCATGTCAGTGACGTAGATCAAAGCTCTGTACTTACTACTTCAAGAAATTAGTTTTATCTTACACAGATTGGCGTTCGTCGTCTCTTATCAAAATATCAACCACATTCGAGAAGTAATGTACAAACAATTATATTACAGAAACTGGAAACGCTATTATTTTTTCGGTTTGAATATTACTTATTAATGTTTGTTTGTTTGTTTTGTTTATTTTATATTTTTTCTTAACAATAAAAAGTTACCTATCCTTTGGGTTCCAGTAGTAAACGAATAAAAATAAATATAAACAAAAATAACTAACTTTGAAGTTTTGTGAAATTGCTCTGAACATGAAATTTCTTACCGCCTGCCAACCATCATCTTCCTCTTCGTCCTTGACTTTCGGCAGAGGGGCCACAACCTTGCTCTCTGCCGCCACCCGCATCTGGACCTGGGCAGTGTGGGCCAGTTCCTGGGCACCTTTGCCCTTGATGAACTGTAAGGGGTCCGCGCTAGTGCTGGACTTTCTCAACTGCTGAGTGCTCATTCTGTCAGAAGTCCGGCGTGGAAATGATAGGTGGGAAGGTT